CGTTAGCTGGAGCCCGATTCTTGCTTCCGCCTGCTCCCGTGCACGAGTAAAGCGACTTCGCGCGTCGCTTTGCCAGTTTCGCGAATCAGTGCATTCTCGCGAAGCACCCGCTCCTGCCCCTGTTCCTGATCTCAAAAGGTCGCGACCGCGACCCTGCGGTTTCGCGAGCTGCTCCCGCCTCCAGATTCGCGAAACGATGCTGCCCCCCATCTCCTTTAAGTTGCGAACAGAAGAGGAAGAGAAGGTAGAATCACTATTTTTTGTGTTCTTCTTCGGGCTTCCTTGGGATAGAGGAAAAAAAGTACAATGTATAGTTCTTTGCGGTGAAGAAAGAAGAAAGAAGAAAAAGAAGATTATTCTCTCTTGGCTTCTTCTTGGTGGCTTGTGGCAGAAGGTGGCTTGTGGTGGCAGAAGAGAAATTGAGTTTTATTTCTCTTGTAAGTTTATCTTCTTCGGTGTATCTCGGTATAGAGTTTCTTCGGTTTATCTCGGTGTAGAGAGAGAAGAAGAGTGAACAACGAAGTGAAATATTCCTCTTGTAAGTCGAGACAATCGACTGTTGTAAATTTCTCAAGTAGTAAAATTCTCTACAACTCCATAGACGTAGGCAATTTGACGAACCACGTAAATCTGTGTGTTCCACTGTTTTACTGTTTTCTGATGTGAATTTTCTCGTTCTATTTTTCGTTTCAAAGATCATTCTCCTATTTAATTTATATATATACTACATTAATTGGTGGTATATATCGCAACAGGTCGAATATGAAATAACTTAATTGGATGCTCCACTGCCAGGAATAAAAATTCGTAATAGTTAGGAGTTGTGTCAAGCCTAATGAGCTGAGCATCAACTACTTTATTACATAATCATTTTATTGACTCTAAAACGTATGAATTTATTTACAAATGTGTTGGAAAATGATTTATTTTGTACACTTAAAAAATCCAATTAAAAGTATGCCAACGTACACAAAACAGTGTTATTTGCCCAACAAACTGTAATATTACGAAACTAGCACGCTAAAGTGGCTTCTGTTAACACTTATGTCTCCAACCTCATCAAACTGGGTCGTAGCGAACGAAGACCTCTAAACTCTCGTCTTTCTTTTTCTGCCGTGTCTCTCCTGTCACACCCCGAGTCTAGAAGGCAGTACACCCTTGCAATTCAGGGCATGATGAATTAAATTGAATCTGTTTTGTGATTTCAAAAGAAATATTCTATGCAAATAATAATAGGAATAAACCAAGAAATGTAAATTTTTATTCTATAATAATTAGTCCAGTAATAAAACTGAAAAGAAATCATAAAACCGACCCATTAAAAACGAAGTAACAATGATAAACACCTATTTAAACCCAAAAAGAATAAAAATACAATAACTGAAGCAAATATTGAAAAAATACACAAACAGAAATTTTAAAATTGCTAGGTCTGCTCCAATTGAGACTATCTAACTAGCGGCTGAATAGAACCTATTATACAAATGAACCTGAACCAGGTAAGTCGGTGGGAGGTGTTAGAAATGGTGGAGCCAGGTCCATTATGCTTGGGCGGTTACTTTGCTTTGGAAAGTCATGTCTCTTCACAAATAAACACTCCCACATTCCTCTGTTGTGAAGCAAAGCATCTTTTCGCTCCGTCCTGTTCGTAATAAAAGACTTTTGACGACTTCTTTAGTTTCTAAGTCACGTTTTGATTTTTTCTTCGGGCTTTCTCGCGATAGAGGAAAAGTTTTTCAGGCTTCTACAGGACAGTGGAAGAGAAGTGTAAGGAGGAGTAGTTCCTTGCGGTAGAGGAAGAAGAATGAAGAAGAAAGAAGAATAAGATTGTTCTCCCTTGGCTTCTTCTTGGTGACTTGTAAAGAAATTGAATTTATTTCTTTTGTAAGTTTATCTTCTTCAGTGTATCTTGGTGTAGAGTTTCTTTTGTGTATCTCAGTGTAAAGAGAGAAGAACAGAAAGAGCAACGATGTGAGAGTGAGAGATTCCTCTTGTAAGTTGAGATGATCGACTGGTGTAAAATTCCTCAAGTAGTAAAATCCTCAGCAACTCCATGGATGTAGGCAATTTGCTGAACCACGTAAATATGTGTGTTCCGCTGTGATGTTATTGTTTTATGGTATGAATTTTTTCTCATTCTCTTTTTCGCTTCGTCGTCAATTATTCTCCTATTTGATTTGTATATATACCACATCAACTGGTATATATCTAAATCTCGCAACAACAACAACTGGTATCAGAGCTTTGCTCGAATTTGAGGAAGAATGATGACTGCACATGAAGTGAAGGTTTCAGGGATCGAGAAATTTGATGACACGGATTTTGGTTATTGGAGAATGAAGATAGAGGACTACCTCTATGGGAAGAAACTTCATCTTCCGTTATTGGGGAAAAGACCTGAAAGAATGGATGTGACTAAATGAAATTTGTTGGACCGACAAGTTCTGGGGGTTATTCGATTGACCCTATCGAGATCTGTTGCACACTTCATCGTCAAGGAAAAAAAGACTGCAGAGGACGACGATAGATCTTATGGCAGCCTTATCAGGTATGTATGAAAAGTCATCGGCGAATAACAATGTGCACTTGATGAATAAGTTATTCAATTTAAAGATTGTGGAATGTGTTTATGTTGCTCAACATCTGAATAATTTCAATACTATCACAAATCAATTGTCATCTGTAGAAATTGATTTTGATGATGAGATATGTGCACTGATCTTGTTGGCTTCATTGTCAGATAGTTGGGAAGTCATGATGATAGCTGATCTTGTTGGTTTCATTGTCAGATAGTTGGGAAGTCATGATGATAGTAGTTAACAGTTCTGCAAGTAAATTTAAACTGAAATACAATGATATTCGTGATTTGATTTTTGCTAAGGAAGTTCACAGGAAAGATTCTGGCGAGGTCTCAGGTTCGAGTTCGACACTAAATGTTGATTTCAGAGGAAGATAGCATGACAAGAACTCAAATAAAGGGAGATCAAAATCAAAGTCTGGTCAGCAGACAACCTGCTGAAATTGTGGCAAGGTTGGTCACATAAAAAGAAACTGTAAGAATCCCAAGAATATGGAGAATAATAGCATAAATGTGGTATCTGAAGAAGTACAAGATGCATTATTGTTGGCAGTTCATAGTTATGTTAATGATAGAAGTGAAGAAGAAAGTGGGTCTGGGGCACCCATTCCTATTGTTCCACAAACATGTGTTGAAGAACGAAAGAAATATGAAGAAATCTTGCAAGATGAAAGTTCGAGCAAGTGAGAGCTGACAAAACTTTCATAAGGGAAGAAGACATTACAGAACAAGTGGGTATACCAGGAGAAGACTGAGCGTGATGTCAGTAAGAGGTACAAGGCTAGACTTGTTGAAAAAGCCTTTCAACAGAGGCAGGATGTTGCTCATGCAGTGGGAGTTGTAAGAAGAGACAAGAGTGACCCAGGAAATAGCTTGAAGGTGCAAAGCTATGTGGAGCCTGCTGATATGTTGACTGAGGTGTTACTCTTGAGAAACTGAAGTTGTGCATAGTTTCAGTTGGTCTTCTTGAGTGAAGACAGGGCTTTGAGTTGCAGAGGTTGAGGATACATGTTGAAGAAAAGGCGACACCGCCAGTGGAGGATATCAGTTTGAGGAAGAAGATGTTGCAGCATGTGTACCAGTCTCCAAGTGAGAGAATTGTTTGAAACAATGAAGCTCGATCCACTATGCTTGGGTGGTTACTTTCCTTTGAGAAGAAGAGAGAGCAACGATGTGAGAGTAGGAGATTCCTCTTGTAAGTTGAGATGATCGACTGGTGTAAAATTTCTCAAGTAGTAAAATCGTCTGCAACTCCGTGGACGTAGGCAATTTACTGAACCACGTAAATCTGTGTGTTCCGCTGTGGTGTTACTGTTTTCTGGTGTGAATTTTTTCTCGTTCTATTTTTCGCTTTGTCGTCAATCGTTCTCTTATTTGATTTGTATATATACCACGTCAACTGGTATATATCTAGATCTTGAAGCAACAGGAGGAAAGGAGTAGCGCTCTTCTTTCTCCCCCCCTGAAAGATGATTTTTGCATGATTCAAGAAGCTGATGCAGGTAAGCGGGTGGGAGGAATGGGGGAGAAAGACAATGGTTACTCCCTCAATGGTTTCAGGTAGGAGCGGACGTAAGGAGGAGGTTGGTTGTGTTTGCATGCCACGATCCAGTTATTGCCTTCTCGTATGGCTCTAACCACGACTTTGTAGCGAGGGTTTCAGGTTCGAAGCCAATGGTTTTGGGCAAAATCGGGATAGAGCGGGGAGGGAGATTGGGAGGAGGAGGTGATGCCCTTAGCCCATTTTTATAGGTTGCTGAAAAGGAAAGAAAATTATTGCATATTTTACTTCTATCTAAGAGAATTGGGGATGGTAACTCTCATTTTCTCCCAATTCCTCCCACCCATTGCATTCGCCCCAATTCCTCCCACCTGTTTCATTTGTCGTGCTTCAGCTCTTCTAATTTCGAAAAGATGGATGTAAGGCAAAATGGAGAAAAAACGGATTAAAAATAGAATAAAGGATAGGACCTGTACCATATAGAGATCATTGTACTAATTGGGGGAATGAGGAGAAAGACGAGAGTTTCAACCGATTTTGTACGTTGCGATATCATCATGGTCAATCGAAGTCCAGCGGGGCTGAAGGAAAAAAAAAATGTTTTGGAGATCTTTGTATGCCGCTATCCCATCACTACCTATCCGCTTTTCCTTACAAAAATGGGTTGTAAATATAAATTTATGTAAAATACGTAAATAATATTATTTTACTTGCTACATGAATAAAAATCCCAATTTCGAAATATGGCGTGTGTTTTTTTAGGTCTAAATTAGAAAGCATTATTATCGTTTACCATAAAAAAATTAAGCACAATCAAAGAAATTTTAATGGGCAAAGTTACGCGTCCTATGTATGCCATTGCCTTAAGAAATAATAAGAATCAAAAAGTTCAGGCCAGCTCTCCATTTGGAGTGTCGGACCATGCAACCGATCCCGCTGTTGCCATCTACTGCGCTGCCGGCCATGCAGCCGGAATCGAATCTCTCCTTTGTCTCATTTTACCCTCTCCTACTTCTCTGCTCTAAGAGGAGAATCGGGAGCGCGAGTGGAAGAGAGCTGAGAGAAACGCCAAGATGCAAAGCTACTGCCTTGTCATTGCTCGTCATTGTTCTGCTCTTCCTCCAAATACTGCCAACAGTTCTTTCCCTGAATCCGGAAGTAGATAACCTTCTCAAGGCTAAGCACGGTCTAGACGACCCATATGACTACCTCGCCAACTGGAGACTCACCGATTCCACCCCCTGCGACTGGACTGGTGTCACCTGCTCTCCTAGCTCCGGCGACGATGAAAACCTTACCGTCACATCAGTCATTCTTAACAACTACGACCTGGCTGGCCCCTTTCCCGTCGCTCTATGCCTTCTCCAAAACCTCAACTTTCTATCCCTCTCCTTCAACTACATCAACTCCACCCTTTCGGACTCTGCCCTTCAGAACTGCTCCGCTCTTACCCACCTCGACCTCTCCCAAAACCTCCTCGTCGGGCCCCTCCCGTCACTTTCTTCCTTCCGTCTTCTCCGCCATCTTGACTTGGCCGGAAACAATTTTTCCGGCGCCATTCCACCCTCCTTCGGCTCCCTCCCATCGCTCGAAATCCTCTCCCTCACTGCTAATCTGCTCAACGAAACCATTCCCTCTTTCCTTGGGAACATCTCTACACTCCTCCAGCTCAACATATCCTACAACCCCTTCACCCCTGGCCCCATACCTTACTCTCTCGCCAATCTCACCAATCTCGAAACTCTCTGGCTCGCCGGTTGTGGCCTCACGGGTGAGATCCCGCCGCCCCTGGGCAGTCTCTCCAAGCTCACAAATCTCGACCTTTCCGTGAACTCCCTCACTGGCAACATCCCGGACACTCTCTCTGGCCTCTCCTCTGTTATCCAGATCGAGCTTTACAACAACAAACTGACAGGCCGCTTCCCTGCTGGGCTCTCTAACCTCACCTTCCTCCTCCGTATTGACGCCGCGATGAACTCTCTCTCCGGGCCGATTCCCGACGACGTTTTCTCCATCCCCCTGCTCGAAAGCCTCCACCTTTACAGGAATCAGTTCATCGGTTCTCTTCCTGCCACTGCTGCCACCGCTGTCAAACTCCTGGAGCTCCGAATTTTTTCGAATAACCTATCCGGGCCCCTTCCCGCGAACCTCGGCAACAGCGCCCCGCTTATGTTCCTCGATCTATCGGGTAACCAGCTCACCGGCGAGATACCAAATGAAGTTTGTCATGGTGGCCTGCTACAGGATCTTCTTCTCTTCAACAATGACCTCTCTGGCGGCTTGCCGCAAAGCCTCGCTCAATGCCAGACTCTCACCCGCATCCGCCTCTCTAATAACCGGCTTTCGGGTGAAGTCCCTACCAGTATCTGGAAACTGCCGCGTATCACGATTCTGGAACTCACTCACAACTCCCTCTCAGGAACCATAGCATCTGACATCGCCGGCGCAACCAATCTTGTCAATTTGCTGATCGGCGGAAACAATTTTAAAGGGAATATTCCAGCTGAAATCGGTTTGCTTTCTAATCTTTCCGTATTTTCGGCCTTCAATAACCGACTGAGCGGCCCTTTACCGGAGTCACTTGGATTCCTTCCCGAGCTTAAACAACTCGACCTGCAAAACAACTCCCTTTCCGGCGAGCTGCCCAAAATGCAGTTTTCAAAGAATCTCACTCAGCTGAACCTTGCCGACAACATTTTGTCCGGCGGGATTCCAGAAGAATTTGGAAGCCTGCTGATGCTGAACTACCTAGACCTCTCCAGGAACATCCTCACTGGCGAGATACCCGCCCAACTACAGTACTTGAAACTGGTCAATTTCAATGTTTCCAATAACCATCTCTTTGGTCCCATTCCACCTCTGCTCCGCAACGAAGCCTACAAGAGTAGCTTCCTTGGTAATCCTGGATTATGCTTGGATCCAAATGAGCATTGCTCGAGCTTGACTGTTGCCGATCATGGCCATAGGAAGTTCTTCTGGGTTATTGGAGTTATCCTTTTAGCTGCCATTGTTGGGATTTCATTGTTCTACTTGAGGAAGATGAATAGTGAAAGAGGTAAAAGAGGAATGGATAAGTCCTGGTGGATTCTCCCTTCTTTCCATAGATTGGGCTTCAGTGAATATGACATACTGGATTCATTACAAGAGGATAACATCATCGGCCGGGGAGCATCCGGGAAGGTTTACAAGGCAGTGCTCCGCAGCGGCGAGACTGTGGCAGTGAAGAAGCTTTGTAAAGAGAAAGAATTGATGACTGACGACGTTAAGCAGGAAGGTACTGGTTACGATACCTTGAGAACAGAGGCAGCGGCGACCATGGGGAAGATTCGGCATAAAAATATTGTGAAGCTCTGGTGCTGTTACAGTCATATGGACTGTCAGCTCCTGGTTTACGAGTACATGCCAAACGGGAGCTTGAGGGACTTGTTACATGGCAGCGAGGCGAGGGGTTTGGTTTGGCCTACGAGGTTTATAATAGCCATGGATGCATCGGAGGGATTGTGCTATCTGCACCATGACTGTGTTCCTCCAATTGTTCACAGAGATTTTAAAGCCAATAACATCCTTTTAGATTCGGATTTTAGGGCTAAAGTTACAGATTTTGGGGTTAATGGAAAGGGGCCGAAATCAATGTCCGGTCTTGCTGGCTCGCATGGATACATGGCTCCAGGTATGGGGAATTTGTCATTCTTTTTAGTTTATTTGTTAGTTTTGGGGCACTTAAATAAATATCACCCAATTCACATGTATGTATATATTTAACATCTAAAGTTTGTATATATAAGTATAGTTGCTATATATATAAATACAAAAAAATTTAGTGTTATTTATTAAATCTTTTTAAGGGAATATTTTAATCCTAGAATTAAAGTTTAAACTGTTAATTTAGTTTCCAGATTTTGTTTATGAGCTAAAAGTAATATCAGATTCTATATAAAGATAGATATTTAAGCCTCCATTTAAAAGTTTTGAGGATTAATTTGATATTATATAGATTCTGAGACAAAAATATTCTAGTACTGCCTAAAGAAATTCACCTGAGCTTGTTGTATTTGTTCTACTTCTGCCCAAGGAAATTTCCAAAAGCTTGCCATCTTAATCCTCAAAAACAATGACAAGATTTGTAATAAATTGATATCATAATAACATGAAAGGGCTCTTTTGCAAAGATTATATCTTAACGCATTCTCTAACTTCATATAACATACATTTACAATTCTTAATTTAAAAAAAAAGGAATGCAGAAAGGACTAATTGTAATTTGGATTCACATTTCAACTTAATTAAACAGACTATTTGTTTGATTTGGCGCATTTCAAGTCATGCTGCATCTCAGTCAAATTTTGTTACCAGCCCTTTCCTAAAATAAAATGCGAAGTGTCCGCTAGAAACAATGTCAAATGAAATGTTTTACTAAACTAATATATGTTAAACTTAAGGCTAAATTTGAAAAACCAGTAGTTTAGGAGCTCATTTAGCATTAATATAACAAAAAAAAAAAACTCATTTCCCTCAAATGCAAACAAAATGAAACATTATAAAACTAATTGTGGCCAAATTGGTTCTTGTAACAGAGTATCCATACACTCTTCGTTTGAATGAAAAGAGTGACATATACAGCTTCGGAGTTGTTATTCTGGAGCTGGTAACTGGCAAGAGTGCGTTGGATCCTGAGTTGGGTAAGAAGGGCTTAGTAAGATGGGTTTGCAACACAATGCAGCAGAAAGGAGAGGATAGCGTCATTGATTCCAAGCTGGATCGCTGCTACAGAATGGAGATCACCAAAGTCCTCAAAATTGGCCTACTCTGCACCAGCACTCTTCCCATCAACCGCCCGTCCATGAGGAGAGTTGTCAAGTTGCTTCATGATGTGCGTGCAGAAAGTAAGCCTGTTCCGCTCTCAAATGCCGGCAAACTCTCTTCTCACTACGAAAATGATCAGGAGAGTTTTGCTTGAAGTTGATGCCATTTTTTAATAGGTTTCCTTCTTTAGTTTTGTTTTAGGAATGAAGTGGTTCTAAGTTCTAACTGTATCTGAGAATGTATTCCTCCTTTCACCTTTCTTCTTTTTTTTTTTTTTGTAAGGAAAATTCTGGAACTTATATAAGGGGAAGTTGGTCTCTGTTGTGTTATTGCATAACAGAGTTTTTGAAACTTTGTTGCCATGATGATATGTGATGTAATTGAATATGTGATTTATTGTGTGGGCTTCAGACTAATTGGCAGAGTAAAGCTGCAAAAACCTGCCTTTCAGATTGTAGTTTCAAGGCTCATCCTCTTCCTTTTGTTCCATGTAGTTCATTTTTACATAAGATGTTGGAATATAAAAAATGGGAGCTTAGAATCAATTAGAAATTAAATCAAATCATGGAATAACAAGATCGCACAAGATTCGAGAAAATCTAAACAAAATTTAAATGAAGGCAGAACTAAAACAGCCAGAAAGCATATAAGAATTTTATGTGGAAAATATCGAGAATTGGAAAGAACTACGAAGCCACACAACCAGAATATTTCATTCACTATAAAATTAATTTGCACCAATTTTCTCTCTACACACAAGGAAACTTACAGGATGTGCTCCAAACTCTTCCTGATTCGACCCGACGCGAAAAGCATATGTCAAGATCCCAGAAATCCTCCTCTCCGACGCTTCTCTCATTCACCAAGAACTTGTCGAAGAAGCATCACGTAGGAACTTCCTTACGTCGCTCGAATTCGAGACTTAAAACCCAAGAAACAGAGTAATTGCATCAGACGCAAAAGCACCTATCTCTTGGGAAAGAATTGAGTTGTGCCCAACAACTTGTACGCTTGTGCGCTCAAGAGGGACGCAAAGGCACCCCTTTCTCTATATTCGCCCCAAATCCACATATCATAGATGAAAGAAACATACCAGTCAACTAAAAAATAAAGTTGCCCAACTAGCCAACATCAAATCAAGAAAAACATAAATAATTTAGAAAACATCAAAAACTAAAATCAAAACAACAAGAAGTAATCAAAGAGTTAGAAGTAAAGAAACAACACCTAAAGAAACCTAACACAATGATGAAAGAAGCATCCCATCCAACTTAAATAAAAGTAACAACATGAAAAATAAAAAAAAAAAATCAAGAGAAGCAAAAACAAACTAAATCAACAATAAAACATTAAAATTTGATCTAATTTTCTTAGAATATAAAACAAAATTAAATATTAAAAAACAGTTAAAATTTTAACAAAAATAAGAATACAACAAAACTCAACCTAAACTCAGCGAGAAGTATTACAAATAATCACAATGAAATCCATAAAACTTAATAAAATTCTGTAAGTTTCTATTAAAATTTTATTTCATGCTTTTAGAAATGATATCCAATGAATATTACAAATAATTAAGTCAGAAAGAGAAGTTTTATCTTTAAATATTCTAGAATTCCTTTTAAATCACATGTAATATGTTGTTATTTGTAAAATAAGAAGATGAAATTTTTTCTAATTTTATAAGAAATATTATTAGAATGATATAAAATCTGAAAAATATTAGAGGGAGCAATAAAAATATTACCATTAAGAATATATTTATTAAGAAGATAATGAGAAAAATGTCATTAAAAAAAGAGTTAATTATGATTTTTAATGTTGTTATAACTTAAAACACAAATATTATTAATAGTAATACCTCTTAAAATAAGGATTTCAAAAGTTTTCAAACATTTATTATTAATCTTCTAAGAATCATAAGCAAATTTTATAAAATATAATTTAAACCAAATAAATTTGTACAAATCAAAACTAGGGAAAACTTCATATAAATAAAAATACACAAAGTTTTGACAATAAATTTTAGCATTATTCCAAAGATAAGAATAATCATGAGGCATGAAAATATTACTAATATAAATGATAAAAAATTCAAAAACATTTATAAAATGATAGAAGTTCCAATTATTATCATAGAAGGCATCACAATTTTAGCATTAATGGGAAGATTAAACCAACTAAAAATAATATCACCAAATTTCTCCTTTAAAGAATGTAGCCCAAAACCACCGCAATGCTTAAGCAAATTAAATTTATTTCAAATAATAGTAAGAAGTTTTTTCCCGTCTTCATTGTTATGAAGAAAATTACAAATCATAGAAAAAAAATTTCTTTCTTGGTCCTTTAGGAAAAAATATAAAATAAAATTAGCAATAGAAATAACTCCAAATCGTAAATTTAATCAACTAAAATTTATCATTAGGAGATAAAATTTTTCTTTCGAACCCGCCTGTATACAAAAAGTATGCTACTCAGATTTCAAAGCAATCCAATGGTCAGACGAGAGAAGATCATTGAAAATGTGAACAAAGGACTAAACAATTTGACAAAGACCTCGAAAGGCACGGTGATCGGAGGAAGACAAACAATTGATATACAAAATAACCCGAGAAGAAACGTCAATCGATCGACCATGTGTTAGGCCACCCAAACGGATTAATAAAAGAGGGTACATATTGTAGGCAAGGCTCGAGCCGACCAATAATAGATCAAAATCACTAACGATCGAGTTCCTACAACTAGTCCGGAAGTGATCGATGACCAGAATGAACGGTCGCACTGCTAAGCGTCGGCCAGATGGCTTTTATAAAAATTCTATTGCATTCTCTTGGAGATTTACTAAGGTGGTCATCGTAAAGCCAAACGATTAGAGGGTAAATTTGTAAATTTAACATTCAGACCGCTTATGTCTTTAAATAAGGGTCATTTCATAAAAAAATTACACATTTTCACTGTTCTTTACAGTTTCCCTTCTTTCTAGTACGCTCTATTCCTTGGGTGTATTTCCTGGACACATTCAGATTTAAGACCGCCAATGAAATATACATTTTATCATGAAACATATGACAATCAATAATGACAAGTTTGCAAGATTTAATGGTAATGCCTAGATAACTCCATGGTAGAGGTTTAATAGCAAAATCACGTAATATAGAAGAATTATGTTGAGTATAAAAATCCACGCATTTAGAGAAAAAAAATATCATATTTGGATGCATTTATGTAAAGATTTGTAGTTTTAAAGTCTGTTTGGGGGCAGTTGCAGCTTATTGAATAACCTGCTGATAAATTGATTAAAAACAATCTGCTGATAAGCTATGTGCGGTGGCTATTACGAATTTTTATTTTTTTGGAAAAGCCAAACCGTAGCCAGAAAGTTACCACTGAACCTATGGTGTGAAAAAGCTGTTTTCAGTGTTTTCAGCGTTTTGAAAATGCATAACCTGTCAAAACGCAGTTTACCCAAACAGGCCAGGTGCGTTTTCAAAATGCCACCACACCAAATAAGCTGCCCCAAACGGGCCCTTACTGAATGTATAAAAAATATTGGTAATTAGAGTGATAGAAAAATATTAGTTTTACCAAAAATCAAAATATCTCAACTATAAACTTAAATAAGATGTCTTGATCTTTTAACATAGAACATATCAATAATAATAGCAAAAATATAAGGTAAACCAAAACGATATTATCTTAAAACAGATGAAATAGAAACATAATCTTTTAATTAACCATTAATAATGACAGATAAATTAAATTCCACAACATAAGCATAAATCCATTCAATGTAGATAGGAGGAAAACTAAGCATTTTCTTCCCATCAAAAAAGAAATTCCTATTCACTTTATTATAAGCTTCAGTAATATCCACTTCAACACAAAATTGACTTGAAGAATTAATAGAACTAAAATCATGAACTATCTCATTTTCTAATCTGATATTATCTGCAACATCACGACTTTTGGTATAAACAACTTTGTCGCATGAATATTAATAGGAAGAATAACTTTTCGCTTATCAGTTAAAAGTAAATAATTAAATTTATAAGTATTATTAAATAAAGATAAAGGCCTAAAATTTGAAAAGGATTCAGAATCAGATTTGTTCAACATAACAACAATAGCACTATGTTCAAAATATTTAATATTAACAATATATTCTTCTCCAATAATATATTAATTTTCTTAAAAAAGGTTGGAGGTAAATCTATCAGGCCTAGTTGCCTTATAAGAACCAATACATAAAAAGACATTCTTAGTATTACTATCAGAAAAATCACAAGTAAAGAAATTCATTGCCCCTCGGAAACTTTATTCTTGAGAGAAAAAATACTATCACTTAAAACAACATTCTCACAATTATCATTAAGAAAATAAGAGTAAAACAAATGACTTCTTTAACAATATCATCTTGAGTATGAATGTAATCATTATTAACCAAAATTTCTTTGATGAAGTTAGAGTTATGTTTAACTTTAGCTTTTTGATACAAAAATTTAACTTCCTCTTCCTTAGATAATCATATACATTTGGTTCTTTTCAGAGGCCATTTATAGTCAGAAGTAGTAGTATTAAAAATACCATTTTGTAAATAAGAAGCTTGAGCGAGAAGATGCTAAGAAAGAGGAGAAATATCAAGTAGAAAAAGAATCACATTATGTCTATTTTTAAGCTCAATAAAATGTATAGATAAAATATTATAAGAATGACAATGTCATTCTTTAAGAGCTTGATTTACATTATGAAGTTATTGCGAAGAGAAAAAGTAGGATCACCATTAACAGAAAAATTCCAAGCAGTGGCAACAACTTAAATAAAATTAAGCTAAATAGTCAACCAACACTAGACAACTGAATAAGGATAAAAAACATAAAAGAAGAAAAAAAAAAGCCACAGGAAGCTCATAAAAATTACTGTAACAGAACTCATAACTTACCTGTAGGAATAACATTAAAATTTCATCCTACATTATATATATTAAAGGTTGAATTAATAAATGATTGGATTTCATCAAAGCTCAAAGCAATCTCAACATTTTGAAAAGATCAAGAACAAAAAACCTTCTTACTAAAATAAACCTCCAGATTTCGGAAACATAGTATATCCAACACCTTGCATCGTCACATGCCAAAGTTTCATTTGCTGTCAAATTTCGTCACATCGATTTTAATGGGATGTATAATCACATGATGAATCGAAGTTCCTTTTCCCAAAGAGATCATCTCTGCCTGCCTAAAAAAAAAAGGAAGAAAGGAATATTCTTTCAAGCATTTCGTCACATCGATTTTAATGGGATGTATAATCAAGTTCCTTTTCCCAAAGAGATCTTCTCCGCCTGTCTCAAAAAAAAAAAGGAATAAAGGAATATTCTTTCAGGTGCAAATCTTTTTTTTTCTTTTTCTTTTTTTTTTTTTTTTTTTTTTTGGAAATAGAGACATGCAAAGTGACCAAAACACTGCCCTTGCTGACCGAAACTCACACCAGACTGACCGCCTCTCCCTCTGTGAACTACTGCGCTAAAATCGGTCATCCAGGATGTTGGCCCGCTTGCTGTCGGAAATTGCAGAACCTTTTCCTACCGTACACCACTGACCCGCTTGCTCTCAAAACCGTCGGCAACACATGCTGGATTTACTGCCGTCGACAATGAACCACGCTAACCCGAAGCTCCCATACCAATTGTTATGTGAAACAATGTGGAAGCATAGAAATTCACACAACAACAATCAAACAAAATGATTTTTGTGGTTTGATATTAAATAGATTTGTCTACGTCCATGGGAAGTGAGATTCCACTAGTACGAGATGGGGAGAAAGAATGAACGGTTTGGGTTACAATTACCACACACCTCCCCTCTCTCATGAACACTAAGTCCTCTTTTATAATGCTTAGAGCATAGAAGGAATGAAACAAAAGAAGAAACAAATTAATTAAAGTAATGCCATAAAACAACAATATCTACTAGCTATAACCAATTGTGAGGACATATATAGTATCTTTTCAGATACCAAAATAACAGTATTTTATTTAACTTTTTATATAAAGACTGCATCAGCATTGGTTATGGAAAAAGCTTATCAACAATATCCCCAAATTCCTGCATCAGCATTTATTTTACTTCACTTGCTTGTTACAGAAGTCTAACGAATTTAAATAAGAGAAAAGTAAGGGTAAAGTTGTAATATAGTGAAAGTGTTAATTGGAAAGGGTATGCATACATTGGCTATACTGTTATTATGATCCCCATCATGGTAATAATCAAAACCACTGGTCCCACCATTATTGCCACAACGTAAAACCTTCCTCTATTGCTGCTAATCATCCATTTGTGCCACGATTGAACTACTGAAGCTTAAATCAACTTCTGTCATCACTTATATAATAACTCATAAATAGATTCATATACCTATCAATGTTGATGCTAGTTTCATTTATTAGAGACCAAGGAATTGAGACCAATGCTAATTTAAATTTGAAAAATGCTATAACATCTGCCTTGTATTTAAAAAAGAAAATTTTGATATGCCGATAGTAAGCAACTCAGAGAGACAAATTAGATAAAGACCAATGAAAGGCTACTTGTGCTTAATGAGAAACATTAATCTACACTACAATACTGCCATTACTACACAAGCTTCATGCTCTCGCTCCGATCGCAGTTCTGAAAGCTTATCAAAAGATGAAACACAAAAAAGGTGAGCATAAGAAGCAAATTAACTACTACAAAACGAAGTCTTTAAGGTAAAAATGCATCAAACCAAGCAGTCCAGTAAGCCTTGATTGGCAGAATCTGACTCGTCCGGCAAAAACTGAAATCTTTTGCTCGGATGAAGCAACATCAGCTCCTCACCGAATGACAACTTCGTCTTGAAAGGATTTAAACATCCACCATCTAAACCACCACCGCTATTACCACCAATATTAGAGCTATCCTCTGTGCTCTCGCCTTCCTCTGAGTTCCCAGGTTGCAAGTAGTTGGCTTTATTGTGGGCGCCGAACATAAAAATGTTGTTTTTCACTGTCTCTTCGACTTGCCGAAGCATTAGCTCCTGCTGCTTTTGATGTGCTTGACTATGGAAGGCTGGCATTGAGCTCCATGTCTCCAATTTTTCAACATTTTCTGAACGCGGAAGGCTGCCTCTTTGCCGGACTCGACACAGGACCCAGACATCCAACTGAAGAAGAGATTTTACAGAACAATAGTGAGGCAGGAATTTGGGGATTTTTTTTTTTACAGTTTTATTTTTTTAGAGCATCATTGTAACTCTATTTGGCGATGTTTTCAATATTTTTTAAGAAAAATTCTCTAATAAAAATTATTTTATAACAAGATATATCAAAACGTGGCCTTTTAGAAATTAATATATAGATATATATATATGTATATTGGTCCTATTCATTCTATATTTACATCAATGTAACGGTTAGATGCACATGATAAAACCTTTTGGACAGCTTCGGTCCAGCGTTAATAACAGCTTATAACTAAGGCTTGATCCCTAATAGGAGAATAATTAAGCTGGTTTAAAAAGAGATCAGGCAATACCGAAATTAAAATCTAGCATAATATATAGTTTGTTAAAGATCCAAACTTTAGTAAATTTCACACCAAACATTGCTATCCATCACATGAAAATAATAATAATTATAATAAATAATCCTACAAGAACAGAAAACAGAGGCAAAGAACATAAAGGCAAATAGATATTAATCATCATCAAAATCCTACAAGAACAGAAAACAGAGGCAAAGAACATGAAGGCAAATAGATATTAATCATCATCAAACTGTACTGTATTTGATAGTATCTTATTAATAGAATTTAGTCATGATTTTAGCTTCAATTCAGTTAAACATCAAAAAGAATAAAAACTACATCTATTTATTTCAACATCCATGATTAGCTCGGCTGTCGCACGCTAATTTATTAAATTAGAATTTATTGAATTTGATAATTCTTACTTGATGTAAATCTAAGATCCAGTTAGCTCGGCTGTCGCACGCTAATTTATTAAATTAGCATTTATTGAATTTGATAATTCTTACATAATGTAAATCTAAGATCTAGCCAAACACCACCTGAACATGATCTAAATTAAACCCAAACACCACCTCAACATGATCTAAATTAAACCCATCCAAACCACCACTGGAAGAAATGGTAAAACTTACTTGCATGGATCCTTTTTGCTTTTGAGACTGAGTTGGAGCCAAAGAGTTTAGAAGACGATATTCGTGCATGACCCAATCAGTCTTTGTCCCCTTCGGTGGCCGGCCCTTGTAGAATACAAGTGCCTTCTTTACTCCAAGGCACTGTGCTCCACCAATTTCAAGGATGGGTCTATCGGTGCCGGTAGCCTTCCAGTAGCCTGACCCCGCAGCTCGATTGGGCCTGACTCCGTTAGGATACTTCCGGTCTCTGGGGCTGAAGAAGAACCACTCTTCCTCTCCGAACACGGCCTTCTCTGAAACAAAACATGTAAAATATTACGTTCAGATGATGGACGTGCGGATGCCGGCATGGATCTCATCATGCCCAAGAAAAAAGATTAAGTAATCACCTGGGAGTTCCCAAGGGCTGTACTTGTAGAGATCAAGTTCAGCAATTATGGATGAGGAATGAGGAAGAGATGCGGTAACTTTCTTTTTCAGGTAATGAATGATGAGTTCTTGATCTGTGGGATGGAAGCGGAACCCTGGAGGGAACTGAGGGCAGGGGAAGGGGTAACTGAGTTCCATTTTTTGGTGGAGCTAAACTTGCTGGTCAAAGCGACGCAGCAGATTAAGTGGGAAAGAGCAGAGGGAGTGAAGAGCGAGGCTTTTGGATGCAAGTAATGTTGAGGTCGGCTTTATAGTAAGTTTATGGGGAAATATTTGCCTACTGGGTGCGTATTCCATTAATCATGTAATACCCCCATCATAATTGATGAATAACACCTAAATAAATCCCGTGAAAGTTATTAAAAGATTATTAGGATTATATGTTATTAGAATTAATGCCTCAACAATGTTTCAATAACTCCTTAATAACAGTGAAACGCTTTATAGTAAGTTTATGGGGAAATATTTGCCTACAGCGTTCTTATTCCATTAATCATGCAATACCCCATCATAATTGATGAATAACATCTAAATAAATCACGTGAAGGTTATTGAAAGATCATTAGGATTACAGGTTATTGGAATTAATACCTCAACAATCTCTCAATAACCCCTTAATAACAGTGAAATGAAGGTTAATAAGAGTATATAAGACATGACCCTCAGAATGAATGAAGTGACAAAATAGTTAGCTAAGGTTGGTTTAATCCGCAAATTAGTGTAAAATTATTTTTTATTATTTTAAAATTAAGTTATTATAATTTATATTTCAGTCATAATTTAAGAAAGTAATGAATTATTTTGATATTTATAAACTATTTCAAATCTCTCCATTTATCATTTCACGAAGCCCGCCTAACATTAACTTGCTGATTATTATTATTATGAAAAATTTACGTACATACCACAATTCCTATGTATTTTTGTATTTACATACCCAACACCTAAGTTTCAATGTATATATATATATATCATCTTATGAATGAAAACAAATATATCACTTTTTAAAAAGTAATTTGCTAGTTTTGATGAGATATGAATGATTTGAATGGTATAGAAATAAAAAGTATTATTTAGGTGTTAGATGTGTAAATATGCCGGAATTGAGTAATGTGCATGTAAATACTAATTAATTTATATAAGACCCGCATAAGTCAGCGGGCCTTCTGGCAAAACAAATATTTTCAAAAATATTCCGATTGACAAAATCCGCTTGAATAAATGAATGCAACTATTTGTACATCATCAACAAATTTTTATCGCTCAGAAAAAATCTCATCGAAAGACGTGAATCTCAATATAATTTTTTAAAAATAAAAAATTTAAAATTTAATTAAAATTTTCTTTAATTCTGATTTCAGCGAATTTATAGCTTAAACTGGTTGGAGACAGACACAATGATACCAAAACTAATTCAATCCAAGCCAAATTAAACCCAAGATCAATGCATTGAATCAATTTTGAAAGTTTTCAATGTATAACTGGGAGTTCAAGAGATTCCAAACCTGATAAGCTTATAGTCAAATTAAGTGCCTCGGCAAGACGAATCTAACGAGCTTAGGATTATTCAATACTGACATTATTAAGACACTCAATGTTTACCAAATGTCACTTGATTAAGAGAAATGAAGTGGTTCAAATTCCTTCGTTATTTATAGAGAAGTCTTTTCAATACTTTATAAACAGAGCCTTACTCTCACTTGAGAGGGGATACAAACCTTGAACTAGAAGAAAGTTGAAGCCCAGAGAAGGAGCTCAAGTCCAACTTCGCTTCTGTACAAAAGATCTAACGAATAACTCCCGCTCTTACAACAGCCAACCACCATCAACTATCACCTTCCAACCAACATCAGACATCCTTTACTTGTTGCAGTGAAGCTCCATACATATTCAAAACTTGTGTTGTAGAGTGAGAAGTGACAACCGACATCGCCGCGTCACAAAGTATCATGCGGAGTAGTGCATCACCTTGAAGGCCTATCAACCTTGAAGCTGATATACTGAATCTACAACAATTACTTGATGTATTAAAAGATTGCAAGAATTTCTTTATATTCTGCACATCTGTTTAAATAAAATTGCACTTTAAAGAAATATATTTGTATGTTTTTCTGAAAGTATAATAAGATTTAGGAGTGAAACAATGTGAAAGAAACATAAAGCAAAAATGATAAACTTTGAAAAAAAAAACTTTCTGTGAAGACTAGTGCCATGGCGCCAAGTACTGAGAGCCTAGGTGCCAACCAAGCCTAGAACCCGATGGATTGGCGTCATGGCACAAATTATCCATCGCTAAAGCCTCAGTCCTGAAGGCCAAGGCCATAGATCCATATCAGTGTGGCGCTTAAGCGCCAACCAAGTAAAAGGAAACCTGAGAGGTTGACACCAAGGTACTAACCACTGAGCGCGAATGCCATGGCGCTAGAATAGAGTGAAGCCTAGGCACTAGGACTGAATTCTGGATGGTTTCGAGACGGTTTAGAGCAGTTTTAGAGTGGTTTCATGGTAGTTTTAAGAGTAGTTTGGAGAGGATTTTAGGGGGAGATGCAGAGTTAGTGAAGGAGAGGAGAATAAAGAAAGAATAGGTGTGTGTTCTAAGGTTAGAGAGAGTTTTGGAGAGATTTTCCTCCTGTGTTTGTTAGTTCCCTAGGCTTATTTTAAGCACATCTAAGGGTGTGATTTGTATTGTTGTGTAAGTGTTGTTTTATAAAGAGTTGCAGGAATAGAACAAGGGCTTGGGTGGAGCAATCTCGAGGCAAATTCAAGGAGAGAGAAAAGTATATTTGTGATTTAGAATTGTAGTTTTTTCTCAAGCACATTTATATGTTGAATCTCTTTGTTTCAATGCATTCTGGTATTGTTTTATCAATGCTTTCTGAGTAAATTCACTTAATTTTTTTGTGGTGACGTGGTTGATGTGTAGGAATTTGGATGACATGCATGAAATAGTTTTTATTCTATAATTATGATGATTTTCTTTTGCACTTAGTTTACTTTTCAATTCGGCCAACTTAATAGTTAAAATGTGTTGTGAACCCGTAAGGACTAGGAAGCGCTACAACATGAAGGAATGGGAAAACCACAATGAACTATAGGGCAAGAATCAAAGTGCACTGTAGGTAGATGCAAAGAAATAGGGAGATGAATTTTATTGGGTTTGAAGTGGGACTTAAGGAATTAAGGTCACTTTAACCAAGCCTCTTTATATGCTCAGAAGAGGGTAAGAAGATTTATGCTTCTATTGTCACAAAACTTTCCCTTATTTTGCATTTCTTCCACATATACACTATATTATTATCGCTACAAAAAAAGTGACCTTCTTAGCAAAATTAATTCACACAACATAGTTAGAAATTTCATAGGTATACCTTTATATAATTGTAGTAGATTTGTTAGAAAAACTTAAGTATTTCAGTATTACAAACTAAGAATGAACTAAGTAGAATTGAACATTTTCCTACTTTGGCTTCTCATTGTTTCCTGTAGGTTCGACATTCTGGACGCTTTAGATCCCTATGTTACTGAAATGCTACATATACTTGCGTGAAAAGTTTCAGTGTATAGGAAAATCTGATTTTAAGATTTTAATCAAGTTTCTAGGGAACATATCATATTTTTTGGTGTCATTAACAGGATTTACATTATTCTGATATTCGCAGGGGTGGATCAAGTTTTCTGGTGCCATTGCCTGGAAAAAAAAATGGTGTAGAAGAGAAGAATTTTTAGTTTAACTATTGGGACTTAAATTTGGAAAATATTTTATTTATATCTCTGTTTCTGTTTAGGTAAAAACCTATTAGTTGCCATTTAAAGTGAATTCGAATGGCAGGTCCAATGGAACTTGAAACCTTTGATTCAGAACTAGAGAACTATTAAGAAAATTAGAAAAAAAAGTAACAAAATTGAAGAAAAAATCTCTATTAATTAGCACATTAACTTGGACAATTAAGAAGCAATTAATGAAAATCAAAACATACAAAGACCTTTGTAGGATTATGTAAATCCCACAACAGCTAAAATACACTTAAGTATCAAAAACTCTTTTGTAGAAGTCAACACTTTTGAGCTTAAGCCGGCTATCATCCAAAATGGTGCAGATCAATCAATTTGAGGAAACCAGTCTGAGGATCCAGATTTGCATTTAGCAAGGATTTTAGAATTTTGTGCCACATTACGTTATAATGGCATTTCAAGTGACACGGTTAGACTTAGAATTTTTCTCTTTTCCTTAAGGGATAAAGCTAAAATATGGTTAAACTCATTGGCACCAAGATCTATTAGAACGTTGAATGAACCAGCCCAAAATTTCTTAGCTAAATATTTCCTGCCTTAAAAAATAGTGAAATTAAGGAATGACATTACTTCATTTTGTCAGCATGAAGGTGAATCATTATTTGAGGCCTGAGAGCAATTTAAGGAACGTCAGCAAAAATGCGCATCATTCTCTGCCTAATTGGTTGATAATCAGGCCAGTTTTTCTATAATGGGTTGGTAGGATTCCTTAAATCAATTTTTGATGCTGCTGCGGGTGGCTCACACATGTTAATGTCATTCAATGAAGCCTATTCTCTAACAAAAGAGATGACCACTAACATGTTTTAATGGCCTGCTGAGAGAGTAAATAAAAAAAAGTAGCTAGTATACATGACACTGATGTGCTTGTAATTTTAACTTTGCAAGTTGCAATTATATCTAAGAAGTTAGATCAATTTGAGGTGAGTGAATTCAGTAATTGATAAAAATTTGTTCGGACAATTGATTGATACCAACACTACATCACATGAGACTCTAAATGTAATAAAAAATCAACCCAACAATCCTTACTCAAATTATTACAGCCAAGGTTGGAAGAAACAACCAAACTTTAATTTGAACAATAATTATTGTGGTGGAAATTAGAAATGGGGCAATAATTAAGCAAATCCTATGGAAAATTGGAATAACCAAGGAAATCCTATGGAAAATTGGAATAATCAAGAAAATTGGAACTATCCTCCTATATTTAATCAAAATGACCAATTTAAGGAGAAGAAGTTGTCAAATGGGGAAATGATTGTAGAGTTAAGGTATTGCTACATGAAATATTGAGAATCAGTTGGGGTAGATTGCTAAATCGATTAGCAATTGTCCTCAAGATACTCTTCTTAGCAATACCGAGA